AGAACTCCACTGATGTTAAACCAACCTAAAGCAGTACTGAGATGAAGAGGTATAGTCCAACAGCAAGGAGGTGGACAGCAGCTGTATAGTGTAACTCTACCTCAGATGCAGTGGTACAGCCTATCAGGAAGGTGGGGGACAGAGCTATATAGTATAACTCTACCTCAGATGAAGTGGTACAGTCCAACCAGAAGGTGATGGACAGAGGCTGTACAGTATAACTGCACATGGGCTTCATTTGTTCCTGTTAAATACTTAGTGTTGAAAAAAATTTACAGTGTTAAAAATACTGATGGAATTTAAACACATCTACAATGACAAGCATATTTTAAAAATGTACCCATAACCCATTTGTGGGGCTACTGCAAAAATGAGCCATACAAAACACATTTGCTTGTATATGAATTTCAGCGTTCTACATACTTGAAAATTCCATTTCCTGTTCTCCTGAGAGGGGAAATATTTATGTTTTATGGTATCATAGTGCCAAAGTTTTGAGAAATCCTTAAATTTTCTCTATTCCTTCCCATTTTGTGCAAATTAACAAACAATATTGTTGCAAAGCTTGGCTGATCCTCTGCCTGTGGAGACTTAGATAAGGAGTGGAATGAGCTACATTGGATCAGTCTGTGCTGGATTGGAAAGTTTCAAGTCTTTTTAATACAATCTTCCTACATACTTTCCTTTGCGACACAGAACTCATTTTATTATCATTTCAGGAATAAAATGACTCATCAGAATTACTTAAAGTGAAAGTCAAAAACTAAGACTGCTCTGCTCCATTTTTAAGTGTATATCTTTTATTTTAACCATTAGCATATAATATTCTAAAGTTATTTTTCAGGTCTTTGTTTCATATCCTATCATATTCTAATATCTTCTAAGCCATTGATTTACTGATTTTATTTTTTTAATTAAGCCTAGTTCCTATATTTGTATGACCTTAAATGTCATTTGCCTTTGTGTTCTCTGAGTATGAAAGCATTGATATTATTTTGGGGTGTCATAATTTGAACAAAATAGACAAAATTCTGAAAGTATAAATTATAGTTTGATGGTTCACAAGACCCTCTGTCATTTTCATATGAACCATCTGTTGCTCTTGCTCTGGCTTTTTAAATACCATTTACTATAGATTAGAGTGATGATATGCAAATAACAGACAAGCTAGAAGATATTAATTATAAGTGAGTTTTCTGTAATAACAACCGCAGTCATTAGAATCTTTAGTCAATATTTAGTCAATATTACATATGGCAAGTTTGGTATCAGGAGCTGGTTGGTTATCAAAAGTGTGATTTAAGGTTCTTTTGACAGTATATGATTTATGAGAATAGAGGAACTCTTGTCTCATCTTTGGGACTCCATTACATGATAATGGCTTGTTTTCTTTGACAGCGTAATTAATGTCTACTGTCTTTATCTCTTCATAGACTTGTTCTAAAGGTATTTCGGCCACAACATAGAACAATGTTGTTTAAAAATTAGGTCCGTTACATTCTATTCTTAAATTGCTTATGTACATATTGTAGAACATTAGTAAGTTCACAATGAAAATATAAATGTGTAAGTTAATCTTTGCTTTTTATGTTTGTTAGATTTATTCATTATATAAATAGTGAACCACAGTTTGTGTTTGACAAGCGATAAATCAATGGCTATTAATTCATACTCTGCATTATATTGAATTACCTAATGGAAAGTATTCTCCTTGTTCTCTATATAAAAGTGACCTAATATGTCCACTTAATGTGCTATGTCTTCATCAATATTTAAGCATTTTTATGTGCAATATCTCCTAGAGAACCTGCCATAAAACACAGTATTTGTACTGATTTATTCCTGTAACTATAAATTTTTGTAATTTGAGAGAATAATGAATCATTTGTGATAAGTGGCAAAAAATGAAAATCAGTGTTAAACCTATGGAGTAATTTCAGAAACTTCATTACATAAGCCTAACTAAATCCTCACATCATAACAAGTCCAAAATGGTATCTACATATTTTAACTCTTTTTTTTTTTTTTTTTTTTGGTTTTTCGAGACAGGGTTTCTCTGTGTAGCTTTGCGCCTTTCCTGGAGCTCACTTGGTAGCCCAGGCTGGCATATTTTAACTCTTAATGTAATTTTATGAGTTCTGTTTGTTTCATCTAAAAGCAAGAATTTCTATTTTTAAAAATTTAAATAAGATGTTTAGGAAAAAAGAGTTGAACTATAAGTTAAAGTTAAGACAATAAAATTTATTTTGGCTAGCTCTTAATTATGTAGTCTTCAAGGCTGAGTGTCAACTTTGCTTGATCTAATTGCTATTAAAATAGTTTTCTTGACACAATTACATCTTCAAGATTTTTTATCCTTTGCTATAAATGATGATTCTGTGTTGATATTGAATTTATAGTCATAGCAAATAAATATTCTTGATCATTCATAATCATAAGAACTATTTTTTAATCAAAGCTGAGAATTGAACTTTGCTCCCCATGTACATTAGGTCAGAGCACTACACTATACTACATTACCAACCCTCACTAAAACTAAATTTTTAGAATACTCAACTTTATAAGCACACTGTTGAAAAACCTGTGTCTATATATATGCAAATGTATATACACGTACATGATTTTATATACACACACACATATATATGTATATATTATTTCATGAAAATTGGTGAAGGAATGTAGAAATATACATACAATATAATAAAATTAACTTTAAATTTGTATCAATAAACAAAAATCCATGGTCATGTAAAATATGTAAGATTAATTGGGTTTTTTTGGATGAAAGTAGATCATTTCTATCTCATATCCCCCTTTCTTCTTTTAGAAAGAGATTGACTATGACCAATAACAATTTATAACCAATCCCCCTAAAAACGACAAACATCCATAATCCATTTTTTGGGGAATGTGGGTGTAGTTTTCTAAGATACTTCCTGTTGATTGGGGATGCTGGTAATCTTATGGGTACCCAAAGAAAATTTAGGATTATGGTCAAGTCCTAACTGGACTAGTCTCTGAAGCTGGATCATCTCAGCCAGTAGCCTTGAAGCCTTTCTGGATGCAGAACTCAGAGGAAACTGCAACAGAGGTGCTCTGAAATGTTCGATCATCTGGGCCAGCTATTCCTATTGGAGATTTTTTAGGGAGTCTCGTTTGATTAAACCATAATAATCTGGAAGCAATCCATAGGTTCTCATCCTCTGTGGAAACAAAAGCAGAACCTCTTTTCCAAAGCAACATATCACTTAGACTCAAATTTTGAAATCAAGATTCCTTTAAAATATACATATTGGTTTAACTTCATAGACCCTACAATCAAATATCTCTCTGCATTTAAAAAAATCACAAAGACAACACAATAATATGCAGTATCCAGACTCTCTGAGTAATTTCCATCTTTACATGGCTTGTTATATTTTTTATTACTCTATTTCTTTTTTAAGTTTTTTTTTCTACTCATTTTCTTTTCTTTCTCAAGCCTACGTGTATTTTTAAATACACTGTAACCTGTTTATAATTTTTTCCTTCTGAATCTGTTCTTATTGTGTATCTGTAATCATTTTCTGACCAGGAGAAATTGTAAACTGTTAAGCTGCGTGGCTAGGACCAAAGTGGCAGCAGTCTTGGCTGCTGGCTCCACCAGGTTCGGCTTTTCAACATGTTGCAGGTGCCAGTGAGTCAGGCTTACCTCCCCAGTTCTGGGAAGCAGTACATCCCTCTGAGACCAGGGCATGTAATGAGAGACACGAACTAGGAAGCTGCTCTTAGCTCCGTTCTAGAATCTCCTCTTAAGTTCTCTCAGGTTTTAGGTGGAAACTCTTGCCACCACATATGGGCACCAAAGGTAGACAGAGTTTTCCTGTGTTCTACCCAGCTCACATCAGCTTATAAATAATCACCAGAGGCTTTATTAATTATTAATTACAAACTGTTTGGTCTGTGGCTCAGGCTTCTTGCTAGCTAGCTCTTACAACTTAACTCAGTCTGTTCCTATTATTCTATGTTTTGCCACGCGGCTTCATGGCATTACCTGTTCTCTTACATCTTGTTTCTCCTGGCAGCGGCTCAGAGAATCTGCCCTGACTCTGCATTTCTTCTCCCCGCCCCTTCTACCAGATTTCCCACCTAGCTCCATCCTGCCCTGCCATAGGCCAGTGCAGCTTTATTTACTAACCAAAACACATATTCACAGCATACAGAAAGGCATCCCACAGCAATGGAAAACCTTTGAGTAAACATTATACATTTCCCCCAGCTTAGAAGTAAGTTTATTATGGAATTCTCAGTTTGTGTTCTAATTAATTCAAGTCCAGATATGAGTTAAAATCAACAAATGAAATGGAACTAGGCAAACAGTTGTAAAAGCTGACTAAAGCTTTTTAACATGGACTCATTGGTGGAGACCAACACTATTAAATATGTATTCTTAATATCACCATGGCTAATGTGTAAAAATCATTACTCACACATTTATTATTCATTTTTTCCAGGCAACCCTTCTCATTCTAAGGCTTTGAAGTTTCCTGAATTACAAACCACCCTTATTCTTCTGTTTTGGAAAGACATATAACCTTACCTTTATTGAGGTTTATTACTCTACAGTGTTTAAGTTTATGACATTTACATATTTATAATTGTTATACTGTATGACATCACCACATAAATTTATTTTCAAATTTTAATTCATTTTATTGAGGCAGGGAGTCAAGTAGCCTGGGCTGACTTCAAATGCTGTTTATCCTAGGATGGCCTTGAACTTCTGATCCTTTGTGGGGTTTACAGATTTGCACCTAGCATACCTGGTTTATGTTGTGCTGGGTATCAAACTCACGGTTTCGTGCATCTGAGGCAAGCATGCTATCAGCTGATCTATACCTACCCCGTACGTCTGAAAGCAGCAAAACATGGTGTCAGCAGAAAGATGCAGCTGAGTGTATGTTGGATGATCATCAGCCATCCGTGTATTCACTGTTTTCCACGTCCTTTCCATGCAGAGGTACCTTCCGGTCGACACCGTTGAGACTGGCATCCATCCCATATATTTCTGCAGCACTCACTACATAGAAATGCTGCTGAAGGCCGAGGTGCCCCTTGTGTTTTCAGCTTTCCACATGTCTGGCTTTGCGCCATCACAGGTAAGCCAGCGAACGGGGAGCGCCTTGTGTTTTCAGCTTTCCACATGTC